TTTTTTTTTCTCTCGAACCCACAATCTCTTTCAACCCCCACCCGCCCTCGACAACAAAGCTTTGCATTCGTTTTGACCTTGCTCGCTCCGAGCCGAAGGGCTTCGGGCGTGCAAGCTTCGGTCCGTGATGCAAAGATCGGTCCGCGGCGAAGGCCCGGTTTCGTGCACGCCGCGAGATGAACAAAGGGGCCGACAGAGGCAGCCTGGGTAGCTGCAACGCCTCATGAGGTGGGCCCATTGTTTCATGTCCACTCTGCAGCTCGATGCATGTGGCCCCCCTCTTTGTGGGCCCGAATAAAGACGTCTGCTTGCCCCTCCTCCGGCGTGACCTTTGCTCCACCATCGCAATGTCTTCGCTCTCGCTGCGCTTCTCGGCGCTCTCGGCGGGCAACAAGTCGTACAACCCGCCCAAACCCACCTTCCACTCGCCACAGCTCAAGGCATCCCGACACACCTCGCTCGCCTCTTCCAGCAGCGCTACCCTCCCCCTGCGCGCGTCGCAGACGGTAGGCGATCGACCTCGTACTGCACCGAATAATGCGAAACCGTCCGGGTTGAGGAGCGTCACCGAGTTCGGCAGGCTCGAGCTGGATGCGCTCGAAGAGAGTGTAGAGAGCGAGGCCGAGCCGCACACCTCGTGGCTCGAGCTGGACGAGGATGTGGCACCGAGTGCATCGCGTCGGCGCAGCAGCACACTCTCGTCCGGCGTCGAGTACGTCCACACCCCGAACGCCATGAAGAGCCAGTTTGACGACTCCGACGACGAAGACCAGCCGCTCTCCACCCGCCTCTCGACCGTCCCGCAGTTTGCGAGGCTCGCCGCACTCGGTTCGACGCGCCTGTTTCGCAGACATGCGCGCGCATCCTCCTCGATCGACCTTGGCCACAAGCCCCCCGCCGCGCCAAGTGTTGGTGCACCACGAAAGGCGGTGGTGGGTGACCGACCGAGCGCGACCGAGCTCGAGCATCTCAAACCCGGACCCTCGGCGCTCGAGCGGGACCTGGTTCGAAGCCTCAAAGGCTCGAGCCCCAAGGACCGCAACAAGGCCCTTCCCAGGCCACCGGAACGCTCTCGACGATCACGCGATTCCACCACCACCATCGACGGTCCCCCACCCGCCTACGTCGAAGAAGCAGGGCTGCGCAAATCACGCTCCCTCACTACACTTCGCCTCGAGCAGCGGCCCATCGAAGGTCTGGAGCGCATCACCGAGCATGTCGTTTCGCCTCTGCCGCCGAGTATGGCGCTGCCGGTGCTGCCGCCGATTGAGCGCAGTCGGGCGTTTAGCTTGAGCGAGATCAAGCGCACGGGGTTGCCGCCGCAGAAGCCGCCGCCCAAGGCGCAGCTGCCGCCTACGCCGCGCGACTCGGGCAGCCAGTCGTTCGAGTCGGCAAAGTCGCACCCCACCTCGCCCACGGCGCTTACGACGTGGTCCATCCTCGACGCATACGCCCATTCACCGCTTCCTATCACCCCACATGCATGGCAGGCCGATGCCAAGGTCGAGCTCAACGTAGGTGGGACGAGGTTTACGACTCTAGCATCTACTCTGCGGGGCGAGCAAGGTGACTGTCCAAGGCTGTTGCTACCACGCCCGATTGGGCAGCCAAGGCAAAAGTCTCAGGCGGACCTGGAAGAGCGTGTGGACGAGGCGGATGCGGCGGCCAGTTCGCACTCGAGCTCGCCGTCGACGTTTGCATGCGATCTGTCGCAAACCGACTCGGTCTCCACCCGTCGCACCAGTGGCGTCTCGGAACCCAACCACGATGCTCCAGCTACCGCCATCTTTGTCGATCGAAACCCCGAGCTGTATACCGACATTCTCGACATCCTACGATCCTCCAAGCTTCCCTTCCGCCTGCATGCTGCTAGTGTCGCCAAGCCGTGTGGAGAGGATCATGGATGCCCGCTCGTTGCCGCGCGCATGACGCTGCTCTGCCGACTCACCGAGCTCGCGCACGAAGCCGAGTGGCTAGGCTACCCGTCCATCGCCCAGCTATGCGCGCACCAACTCAAGCTGCTCTAACTACCCGCACACACACACCCTTGTAGACTGCACAAATCCAATTGCAACACGAGCTGTACGTGCTAGTCTTCGTCCTCGTCGTGTGTGATGGGTCTCCTAGCGGCCATGGTGCAGCTTTCGTAGAGCTCCAAATTGAGCGCCGCCAAAAAGCACGGTACCGACTGTCGGATGCCGTTCGGATCCAACCAGTACTCCCTGAGCGCTGGCAAATTCACCATGCCCGGAAACTTGACCGCCTCACCCATCAGCTTCATCCTCCCCACATTGCCGTCCTCGCTCTCGAATACGAGCGAGGTAGACCCCGAGGACCGGTTGAATGTCGACGTCAGCTTCACCTTGCCGTTTTCGAGGAACTTGACGCGGTAGCCGAACAGCGACTGCATCGCCTCCCGGAACTCGTTGGCCTTGGCAGAGAAGACCTGCTTGAGTCGAAGCATGGCTTTGTCCTTGGCCGCCATCGACGCCTGCAGATCGCCCAGGTCGTGCCGAAGATTGTCGACTACGCTTTGGGGAACCAGCGCCTGGCCCGACGTTGACGTTGAAGAAGAAGCGAGCTTGGAGAGTTCTTCCACGCGAGAGAGCAGGCCGGCATTTTCGGCACGCAGAGAGTCCAGATTCGCACGGCGCAGCTCCACGTCGTGCGAGACCGGGTTTCGCGCAAGCACAAGACACCGCTGACGGTCCTGGTCGAACTCGCCCCGTCCCACCCTGCCCCACAGCATCTCGTTCTCCCTTGCCACCTCTGCAACCTCCTTCCCGAGCCTCCCCACCTCGGCCTCTAGACTTCCAACCTTGGCCTCCAACGCGGCCTTTTCGGACTGCATCGATTCCAGCGCCTGTACCGAGCCAGACTCATCGGTGTCGGGTTTGGCCTGGTGTTGGGCCAGCGCACTCGCAACGGTGTGCAGCTCTTCCGCGGTGCGGACGGCGTCGGCACGCGTCTTGTCGAGCTCCGCCTCGAGCAGCGCGATGCGCTGCGCATGCGCGCCGTCGTACGCCGCACTGTGCGTCTTCTCCTCCTGCTCGTACGAGGCGAGCATGGCCTTGAGCCGCTCCACCTCGTCGTGCAGCCGTGCCTCGGTCTTGCTCGCTCGCGCCAGCGCCGTCTGCATCTCGTCGACCTCGTGCTGCACCTTGCGCTCGCGCGCATCCACGTCCTTGGCCTCGTCCTCAAGCGTTGCGTTTCGCGCACGCAGCTTCTCCACCGTCGCTGCCAGCGCACCACACCGCGCACTCAGCCCCGACACCGTACCCTGCAGCTTTGAGAGATAGCTCGGCAGCGTCGATCGGTCCACCACCGCAGGCGGGGCGATGGTCGGCATCACCGCATCCACATTAGCTGCCGCCGCGAAAGCCGCTTCGACGTCAGCGGGCAGTCCTGTGCGCAGTAGTTGGTCCCAGCTACGCTGCTGCTCGCGCAGCTCCGCAGCGACGGCTTCGGAAGAGGCGAGCTCGTCGCGCAGCGCATCGAGCGTGCGCACGCGCGTCTCGAGCGTCCGCTTCTCCTCCTTGAGCAGCTCCACGTTGCTGGCATGGTGCGACAGCCGCGCATTCTCCGCGGTCAGATGCGCCGTCTCCGCCTCGAGCTTGCGCACATGCGACACCTGCCTTGCCAGCTCCTCGGCGATCTTCCTGCCCTCCTCGCCCCCACCCAGCCTTGCCTCGTCGCGTTCTTGCCGGCGCATACGCTGCTCATCTTCCAACGCATTCTGCAGATCCTCCAGCTCCGCCTTGTTCGCGCCCACCTCGTCCTCGAGCGTCCTCGTCCTCGCCTGGGCTGTCGAAGCCTCCCCGCGCACATGCGCCACCTCGGCCTCGAGCTCGGTCACCCTGCTGCGCAGTTCAGACACCTGACTGGCCGAGGTGGACGCGAGCTCGTCGGCGCGATGCGTGAGCTCCGAATTGAGCGTGCGCAGCCGCACCACCTCATCCTCGAGCGCCAGCCGCTTTGCGGAGCATTCGACCTGGTGCGCGCGCGACGCCTCCTGCTGCTTATCCCACTCGTCGAGCAGCTCCACGCGCTGCCGGTTGAACCGGTCGAGCTCCTTGCACTTGGCCTCGTAGTCCTGCTCGAGCTTCTTGTACCTGCGCGCCTCGGCCAGCAGCTGCTGGTCGTAGTTCGTGCGCAGCACCGCAATCTCGTACGCCGGCGACTCGGGGCGCGGCGTCGATGCCGGATGCAGCTCCGCCTGCAGCAGCAGCGGCGACGTGCCGTCCATGCTGAGCTTGCGCAGGTGCGGCCGCTTGATCGCCGCGCTGCTGAACGACATGCTCTCGTCGCCCAGCCCAGCTGCCGAGACGGTGCGCTTGTGCGCTCCGCCGCCGATCGAGGTGTCGAGCAGCATGGATGCCGATGCGGTGTCGTCGCCATTCAGCCCGAGCATGTTGGACGAGGTGTTGGCGTCCAGCGGTCGCGCTGCAAGCGTGCTGATGCGACCGGCGAGGCCTCCGTAGGTGCGCGACGCAGGTGCTGCACTGGCAGGAGGCTGTCGCAGCAGCGATGCCGATGCAGCAGATGCACCAGCAGCGCCCATCGAGCTCCTGCCTGCCGCGCCGCCTCCACCCGAAGAACGGTAGGCGCCCATGGGACCAGCAGCCGAGCCGGGACGTGCGCCACCAGCGGCAGGCGCAGCATTCGCACCCATTCGCGAAGACGGTCGGGGAAGCCCAGACTCGGCGCCCGAGCCTGCAGCGTTTCCACCTGGGCGCGGGATACCCGAGCGCATGGGGATGCCCGAGCCTGCGGACGACACTCGACGTCCGTCCATGGCGTGTTGCGTTGTGTTGGTGTTGGTGTGCAGTCGAGTCGGTGGTGCTGCGGTTGTGCGAAGCGTGACAGGCGCTAATGTGGCGCGCCTATTCCAAGGCGGTGATGCGTTGCTGCTGCAGCGTCGTCTTTCCTTGTCGCCTGTGTCCAAGTGGGATGCTGATGGTGATGATGGTGGGCTGATGGGAGGGAGCGATGCGTGTGTTGTTCTCTTCTGCGGCGGCGTGTTTTGGCGCTCTTTACGCGTAAATCGCCTCCCTTTCGATCGGGACCGCATCGGGTCAAGGCATCGGGCTCGATCGGAAAAGGGTCCTCGAAATTTCGGCGGCGACTCAGCCAAATCCGTCGAGCCATCCAAGCCCGCCTCTCAGCCAGCTGCCACCATCATCATCTCGATCTCCACGCCCCTCTTTCTTCGTCTCTCCATGGTGGCGCCTGCGATGGCGCTTCTCGGGGCGCCATCACTTCGCCCTGGGTCGCTCGCATCCATCCGCGTCCCAGCGTTGTCGGCCTTTGGCGCTCTTGACGTCGCCGCGCCGGCCCGTGCTTGCTTCAGCACGCCGAATCGATCGCTCGTATCCACAGCCGCCACGCCCGCCCACAACCGTTCAGAAACAGCACAGCACATCAATGCGATGCAGCAGATCGACGAGCCCAGCAGGCCCCAGCAGTACAAGGATGTGGTGCTCAGCAGCCTCCCGCTCACCGCCACACCCTTCGACATCCGCTCGCTCGCCCTCGGCAAGATCCGCAACGATCTCGCCCGTATCGAATTCCTCTATACAAAATCCATGCGTCCGTCTGGAAGAGCCATCGCCTCTTTCTCTAATGCCGGCAATGCGCGCACCTTCGAGGAAATCGTGCAGGGACGCATCCTCGGCGGTCGCCAGGTCCAAGCGCGCCTTCAGTCCGCAGAGCGTCGCGACGCCTTCCTCCAGTCCTACTATGCCTCTTGGTCCCGGCACTACCAGCTCCCGCTCGACCTCATCGAGTACGAGCGTGGCACACTCGTGCTCCTCCGCAACATCCCCCAGGACACGTTTGAAGCGCGCCTCGAGGAACGCCTCGCCGGCCGCTACGACCTTCGCCAGCAGGACCGATGGCGTGGCAAGCGCACCGCATACCCTGGCTACTTTAACGACAAGAAGGGCTACGGAGGCTCGCACGACGTCGTGCTCGGTGGCGTGCTCAAACTGCCCAAGGCGCATCCTGACGCAACCACCGCCTCCTTCATCGTCCGTTGCCAGTCCGCTTTCGAGGCGAATCGCCTCGTGCGCAGGTGGCACAACACCTACTTTGCGCCGGCCACCTTCGACATCCAAGACACCGCCGGCCGATACCGCGTCGCCGCCTCCGTCCTCTACTGAGGCAGCAGCAGCAACGCGTCCAACAATGCTTCTCTTCAAGGTGAGTCGCCCTCTACCGCCATCACACTCGGCACACCGACCAAGCCGCCTTGCAGACCCTTACCGGCCTCTACTCGCCACGTCCGTGATGACGAAAATCATGGCACCACACAGAGTTGCCTCGCACGCTGCTCCCGCACAGCCTCGCCTCCTCGATCGGTGCATCGCGTCGAACCGATGGGCCGTGACAGGAGCGCCTACATGCGCGGGTCATGATGCGGATCACGTCCGCACCCCTCTGTCCCTCGGCCACGCATCGTCCAGCCTTGTACGGTCTCGATCATTTTCCGGGAGAGCAGCAGCAGCAGCAGTACGAGCCGCGTCGATGAGCCTTGGCCAAGCCGCTCTACATGCAGAGCGGAAGCACGGGAGACAGCCATCCACAACGAGGCGAGATCCCGTCGTCGGTCGGACAGCATCGCCGTCTGGCAGCACCGATCGGTGGCGTGGACCGTGACCAGTGAGACGGGGCATCTGCGAGCTGGCGGTTCCAGCGAATTGCAGGCTCGCGGGTGCTGCGGGGCTGGCCTGCGATCCGGATCTCCTACGTCGAGATCCAGGGGACCGGCTGGCCGCTCGCCGAGTCAGAGCCGTGTGCGCGTTCGGTGACAATTCGCCTTTCCGTGGTTTTTGGAAGCTTTTGATCTCAGCTCCGGCGTTGCGCCTGGGCGGATTGATGGTGATGAAACGTTCGGAAAGCCTGTTTTGTGTGCTGAACAACCACCGACCCACCTCGCGATATCTTGCACATTGAACGACCGACCGACCACTGGAGTCACGTGTGGTGACAGACGTATGACGACATGCGGAGGAAAGAGATCACGACGGATATGAACGACTCCTTTGGAACGAGCGACTGCGACCTTGCTAAGTTGTCGGGCGCCGTGTGGCTGCAGCGGACTGTTCTGGCTCGGACCCTACCACCCCAATGCAAGGTCGCTTGGAGAGCCTAGGGTCTGCTGGCGGTCCACACGGCGCCTCGATTGGCTGTTCGACAATACCTCCCTCGACTGGGTGTGCACTCCCACCTCTGTGCGAGCCATTGCCGCGATTCGACCTGAAGACCCACCGAACACGCTGCCGATGAAGCTTGTGATGAAGGTGCTCCACCCTTTGCGGCTTCCGCTCTGCAGCGACAATGGAATGCACGACTTGCCAGGCGGCGCGTCCATGCTCGGCTTCAAAGCCTGCCTGGGCCCCGCCTGCGATTGTGGCGTCGCGCGTGATGCCCTCAAGCGGCAATCCTCGCCCGATTTGGACTGCGATTGGGACCACGAAAGCGCCCCCCGAGACGATGCTACGGATCAGTGCTGAACCGACTCGACTCGACTCGACTTTGCGACTCCCGACCATGAACCACGACTGCGACGACTGCAAGCCCTTTTGAACCTTGACAATCTGATTGCTCTGGCGATCAACGTTGGGGCGGCGCGCTCCGCTCGCGCGGGCATCTGCGCGGGTCGAGTGGCGTTCGCTCTGTGGTGGCTGCCGTCTTATCTCACCCCGGGTCGACCGCCTTGGGTTTGGGGATAAGGGAACAGGCGATTAGCAAGATCTGTTGCTCCCACTTGGTTTTCCTTCCGGGCTGTTTGACTCTCTGCTGTTTCTGCTGCTGCTCGCGATGCCTTCACATTATCTATCGCTTCTACGATCACCACCATCTTTCCACGGCGTTGTCTTTCGCAAGTACTGCTCTCGCCATCGCGGGGGTAGGAAGGCACGCTAGTAGATTCGCATCCTGCGCTGGTTGGGGGCAGAAGGTGTGGGGACGAGGACCGCCGACGCGCATGCTTGCGCTCGTGTCTCGGAACAAGGGCGCACACCCTGCCGTAGCCCCTATTTGGGCCGGTCGAGGAAGACGAGGTTATGCGCATGGGCAACGTGCGAGGCGGTGCATACGCATGCGAAGGGAACGCGCAACCACGCGGGCCCGCTGCGCACCGGCAACGACCGCTCACAGAACAGAGATCTGAAGACGTCGGCGACCAAGAGTCGGGGCTTGTCTGTCGGCACGGCGGTGTGCTTAGTGTTGATGGCGAGGATGACTCCTCGTTCCCAACCGGCTTTCTTTTTGGCCGCCAAGAACGAGCTTTTTGGCTGACACCTGCCTTTGCCCTCTCTTTTGCACCAGAGCAGCTCTATACATTTGTACTTTTACACATTCCGCCTTGCGATTTCATCCAACTGCATCTCTCTCGCCTATGATGTTTTAATTGGCAAATGGTTTTGAGGGGGAGGATTTTTTTAGATCTGGTCGGGGTTGTCGGTGTAGTTGGCCATTGGATCTTCGCTTCTGGCGGGGGCGGAACCGTTGATGCGACGGTAGGCTTCGAGTTGCTCTTCTGTCACCTCTGTGTCTGCGGCGGCGTGCGCAGGGGGGTGGTGTTTGGCGTTGATGCGTTCGGCGTCTTGCAGCCAGTCGGGTAGCGCTTGGAAGCGGCGGCGTTTTGCGTCGTCGAGTTGGGCGGCGAGGGCGGGATCGTGGCGCGCGCGCTCTTCCTGCATCGCCGCTTCCAGCTTCCGACTGTCGAGTCGAGACGCTACATCCCCCGACCCCAACTCTTTGCGCGAAGAATATCCCGTAGCTCCAGAATCGCCGCGGTTCTTGCGAGATGATCTTCGTCGAGGCGATCCTTTGGAGGAAGACGAGTCGATGGATCTCGATCGATGCCGTTTTCGCTCCTTTGAAGCTTTGGCCGGTGGCGGTGGTGGGGGAACGAAGGTGGCTTTACTAGCTTCGATACCCGCCTCGCCGGTACAGTAGCTGTTGTACACGGTCGAATGGCAGCACCTATATCCCCACACTGCAGCCGCCACATCGTACCACGACCCCCAAACCTTCGTATGGTTATTCTCCACCACATCCTCCGCATACTTGCTCCTAACCACCGCCTTCTCCAATCCCTTGACCACCTTCCCCGTCTGATCGTACTCTACATAATGCTCCGTCTGACCCACCAGCAGCTCCCTCGGCAGCGCATCAAAGTGCTCCTCCCCTCCATACCGCTCCAGAATACTGCCCTTGGTCTCGGCACGCAGCTTCTGCTTGCGCTGCTGGAACTCGCGGTACTGCCTCTCATTTGCCGTCGGATTCGCCTGCAGATTCAGGTCGTTGCCGCGCGCCTCGGCCTGCCACGAAAACATCTGCAGATTCGCCAGCTGCGACGACTCGCCGCCCTGCGCACGCGCAAAGTTGTCGCCCGCATACTCGGCATCCTCGGGCCGGATGTTGGGGTTGGGCGCCTCGCGCATCGTGCGCGTCTTCGGGTCGTAGTACGCCGAATCCACGTCGAGGTTGTACAGATACTTGGCGCGGTCTTCGCGGATGCGCAGGTTGCGGATCGTCATGCGCTTGTCCGTATCCACCTTCTGCCCCACCGCATCCGCCTTGTCGGCATATTTGTCGTCGTCGCTATCGTCGCTGTCCGACGAGCTAAAGTCTCCGTCGTCGGTCTTGGAGCGCGACTTTTGCGCGAGCTTCTTGGCGTGGCGCAGATCGGACGACGTCGCATTGTCGATCTGCTCCTCCTTGAGCCGCCTGCGCTCGTCCTCGATCGCCTCAAACTCCTCGACCACCTTCCTGTGCTCCGAGGGGTCGTAGCCGTTCCACCGATCGCGCTTGGCCGCATAGTCGAGCCCCTGCACCTCGTCCAGCACATGGTCCGCCGCGAGCGTCTTGCCGAGCTTCTTGGCGCCCTTCTTGCGCGGACGCTCGAGGCAGTCGCGCGTCTTGTGCGACATACTGCCGCAGTTCTCGCACGCGCCCTTGCGGAACTTCTTGGCCGCGGGCGCATCGGACGAGGTGGAGCCGCGCTGGTACCAGTCGTTGATGCCCGCCTTGACCGCGTTGGGATCGACGGGCTTCTTCTGGTGCTTGAGCGAGCGCGAACCGGTGTCCATGTACCAGGGCGCCTGCGCCATGTAGGCGGGCACGTGCGGGTTGATGATGTTGCCATCCTCGTCGAGCTCGGCGGGTGCCCTGCCGGCTTTGCGGTCCTCCTCGAGGTCCTTTTGGCGGCGGAACTCGGCTCGCGAGAGCTTGCCGGGCGCCGCCGCAGCTGGTGGAGCGCCACCACCGGGCGCGGTGGAGGAAGATGCCGACGCCGACATGGGTGTCGAACAATGTGCAGTGTGGCAAGATGGTGGAAGGGAGGCAAAGGCGGAAGGTTGCTGAGTCGATTCCACCTTTGCCTATGCAGGGTCGCTCGGGCGAAAGATGCGAAAACTCCACTCAGCCGGGCTCTTTTCGGCAAAAGGTCTAACACACAGCTGAAATTCAGGAACAGATCGGCGATGGACGGCATGCGTAGTTTGCGGATCGGGCTGCGACCTCCACGCCGGCGCGCCGATTTGGGGAGCGAAAGTCGGCTTTTGTGCTGCCGCTGCCGCTGCTGTTGCTCAGCCTTCTTTCCTTCCCACCCCTCCTTCTCTCTCGACCAAGCGAACGACGACGCGCACCCCTCTTCATCGCACCGCCACCTCGCCCCGAATGGCCTGCGCTTGAACACATATCGATCAAGCAGCACCATGGCGCCTCACGGTGACCAGCAACCGTCGTCGTCGTCGGGTGGCATTCGCATCGCAGGAGCCGCCAGTCGCGCCCAGGCACCTGGCACACAGCCCGAGCCGCCCAAAGCCTCCGCGGGTATCCACAGCTTCAGGCCGCAGCCAGCCGCTCTCCCTGCCCAGCCTATCGACCGTCCATCGCGCCCAGGTCCTCCGTCGTCCAACGGCAACAACCGCAACGGACGTCATCAGGCGCCACACAAGGATCAACCTAGCACAGCTGCTCGCCCGMCCGCCTCGTCGCTGGATGACGACGACGACGAAGAGGGCGCCATCGCAGACCCAGCCGATTCGCGCCCGCGTCAGTCTCAGTCTCGCTCAGATCGCCCAGCCTCGCCATCATCATGGCGTCCGCCACCTCCAAAGACACCGCCGCACCCAGCATCAGTCGACCAGAGAAGCAACCAGCGCTCCAACGATGCCAGTCGAAACAACAACTCGGTGCGTGAGCCACATCGCCCGTACGAATTGCGCTCTCCCTCACCACCACGTGCACCGTCTCGTCCGTCTGAATCGTCTTCCACGCATTCCGCCAACAATGCTTCATCCTCGGCGAGGTATGTTCCGCGAAGCCCTTCGCCGCGCGGCAGAGATGCTGCCTCCCGTCCCTCCAGCGATCGCCCAGATGCGCGCAATCAGCGTCAGCCTCACGACGCCGATCCTAGCCATGGGTGGGACCGCGATTGGGACCGCGACAAGACTCGCGAATCCGATCCTAGCCGTGGGAGGGAGCGCGAGTGGGGCCGCGACAAGACTCATGAAGCCGACCCGAGCCGCGGATGGGACCGCGAGCTGGATCGCGACAAGATGAGGCCACACGAGTCGGCGCGACCTTGGGGACAGGAACGCCGCCCAGAGAGGCAGTGGGGTGCAGCGCCGCGCGTACCGAGGCAGAACGATCGCGACTACGAAACACGAAGGCACGATGCAGACTTCGGCAGGGATGGGCGCAGGAACATGGACGCGGACCGCAACCGCGACCACGACCGCGGCTACAGCCGTCCCTGGGGCGGTGGCGATCGCGATCGGAACAGGCACCATGATGACACGCGCCCCAGAAACGGCGGCAGAGACAGGGAGCTCTCTCCCGCTGCACCTGCCCGCGACAAGCAGCAGTTCCGAGGATGGTCTCCGACGCCGCCGCACACCAAGCCCGAGGCTCAGCCTGTCGACGCGCCACCGCGCGAGAACGGGCAGCGCCAAGCAGACGCTTTTGCCAACCGCCCGCCCTCGAGGATGGGCAGAGACAAGCCGCCGCCGTCGTTCTCGCGTCCGGAATCGACGTCCGGCCAGCCAGCCGACAACGAACGCCCGCCCAAGCGTCCGGCTTCGCCTGCGCATCGCTCGCCGCCCGCCGGTCTGCTCAAGCGCAAGCCCAACTTCAGCGCAGTCGTACCGCCCACCTTGATCTCGCCGCCGGGCAACACTTCATCCGCTCCAGACTCGGGTGGCAGCACCAACGTCGCTCCAGGTGCGCCTATCCATCCCAAGGTCAACACGATGGAGTCGCCCGTCATGCCTGGCGCCGCCGCCTCCCGGCTGGGCTCCGAGTCGCTTGTAAACAGCCGTCCGGGCTCGGCAATGCCCACGGCTCTGGGTGGAGGTGTCGGCGTCGCGGCCACGACATCGTCCTCCGCTGCGTCTGCCGCTGCTCCGACCGATGCCCACTTCATCACGGTTGTCGATGCGCTCGATGACACCGACTGTGCGTCTGTGCGGCTGTCGAGTCTGCCGCGCAAGCTGCCGGACGTGCCAATGTCTGGCCGTGAGCGGCGCAAGGCGCGTGCGCCACCGGTGCCGCTCAACCAACGCAAGTTCGTCGGCTGCTCGTCGCTCGACGACTACGAGATCTCGATCAAGCTCGGGCAGGGCACGTTCGGTGAGGTGCTCAAAGGGCGCCAGATCCGCACGGGCGTGCAGGTCGCACTGAAAAAAGTTACCATCCACGACGCCAAGGACGGCCTGCCCATCACGGCGCTGCGCGAGATCAAGCTGCTCAAGAAGCTCAACCATCCGAGCATCGTGCCGGTCATCGACATGGCGTATCGGCCCTCGGGCGAGCGCGGCAAGCTCGGCGACGTGTACATGGTGGAGCCGTACATGGACCACGATCTGAACGGCATGCTCGAGAATCCGAGCATCCGGCTCGAGGTGTGCCAGATCAAGCTGTACATGAAGCAGCTGCTCGAGGGCACGCTGTACCTGCACAAGAACCGCATCCTGCATCGCGACATGAAGGCGGCCAATCTGCTCATCAACAACAGCGGCCAGCTTCAGATCGCCGACTTTGGCCTCGCACGGCCGTACCGCGATCCGGGCCAGTCCTGGACGGGCAAGGGATGGACGGGCGGTACGCACCGCTACACCAACATGGTCGTCACGCGCTGGTACCGTCCACCCGAGCTGCTCGCGGGCGAGAAGAAGTACGGTCCGCCCATCGACATGTGGGGCATCGGCTGCATCCTCGCCGAGATGATCATGGGCAAGCCGCTCTTCAAGGGCACCTCGGAAATCAACCAGCTCGAGCTCATCGCCAAGCTGTGCGGCTCGCCGGACGAGTCCAGCTTCCCGGGCTGGAAGTCGCTCCCGGGCGTCAAGGATGCCGATCCGACCGGCAGGCCCGATCCGCATCCCGAGGTGCCCGGCCAGCACGACTTTGGCTCGTACCCAAGAAGGATCAAGGAGCAGTTCCGCGGCATGTACGATGCAGGGCCGGGGTGTGCAGATCTGATCGATAAGCTGCTCGTGCTCGATCCGACCAAGCGGCTCACGGCGCAGCAGGCGCTCGCGCACGAGTGGTTCTGGACCAAACCGTTCCCTGCCGACCCGACCAGCTTGCCAAAGTACGAACACTCCAAGGAGATCGACCGTGCGCGCAGGGAGTGGAAGCCTGCGCCCGCGCCGGCGCCTGCACCTGCACCTGCACCTGCACCCGCCGCGATGCAGACATCCATGGCTTCCGGCGGTATGGTCACCAACGCGCAGCGTGCGCCGCACATGCCACCTGCCATGCAGCACGCCAGGCCGTATGGCCGCGGCCCGTACGTGCCAGCCGTAAATGGAGCGGCGCCACTCAATGCGTGGGATGCACCACAACCGAGCACCTACGCACAACAGCGTCCCATGGCGCCACAGGGCGGCTTCCAGCCCCGCCCGCCTCCAGCACGCCATCCGTACCCGGATCCGCACGCACGCTACCCGCACCCGGGCCAGCAACGTCCGCCTCCACCTCACCATGTGCCTCCGCCTCCTCGCGCTGCGAATCTCCCTGCGCGACCGAACTACCCTCCGCGCGGCGCACAAAACCCCTACTCCTAAGCACCCCGCTGTCACACACTGTTTTTCCGCGCACTTTTCCTGCAATTTCAATGAAAGTTGGAGCGGCACTGACCGAAGGTCTCCGAGTCGAACGAGGTGGTCATCTCCACCTCGTCGTCGTTGGCGGTGGGGAGGGACCACTGGCGCTTGAGTCGTACGGAGCTTGTTGTCCTTGGGCGGTGGGCTGTGACGGGGGTGGGAGGTTGGGCGATGATGACGGGGACGGCGGTGCGGATGACTGCCTCGAGCGTCTGGGTCGAATCGGCACTGAGGGGGGAGGTGCACGAGGCGAGCGAGTCGTAGCTACGCTGACGGTCTCGACGGAAGGGGTTGGATTCGAGATGCACGTCGTATGGCGGTGGGGTTGGGTGGCAGTAGAAGCCCTGAATGGGAAGTGCGCGTGACGAGATTAGCGCGTTGAGGACGAGGTCGCGATGAGCAGGCATGGTGGTGTGCGACGAGACCGAGATGGAGTCGGTGCGTTCAAGACCCGCCCCGCGCCACGCTGCAAAACGCGACCCCGCCGACGCGGGTGTTGGATCCCCGTCGCTGTTGGGCGTGGCTTGCTCTGTCGCGGTCGAGGTCGAAGGCGGTTCGTCGTTCCCTTGGCGAGCTGGACGGAAAAACTTCGTCACCATGGTTACGTACCCCGCCACGCCGCCAGCTTCCCCAGGCTGTGGACTTGCACGCGCGGCTGTCTCGACGACCTGACTCTCCACCGGCACCTCCGACCTCCTCGCTCTCCTATGATGCGCACCAGCACCCTCCAGGATGCTGGCGAGCTTCATGTGCGACGCGGGGAACAGCACAAAGGGCGCAAACAGATTCATCGAGTTGACCGTCTTGAGCAACGTGAACCAGCACGATCCAAACATGTCGACGTGTGCCGCTGCGATGCTCGCCGCATGTGCCTCGCGCGGATACCTCCCAAATACCATACACAACCGCATCTACACATCAGCGTGTCAGTCCAAAGTCCCAACTCGTGCAAAAGGGGGGTTGGGTGGGGGGAAGACTTACGGAGGAGGCGCCGAATTCGAGGCAGAGGAGGGCGACGACGACGTGGTCGATGACGCAGCTGAAGAGGAACCGGCATACGGCGAGGTAGCCTTCGTCGGTCGCCAGTGCATCGTGCACGCCGTCGGCGCTGCGTGTTGGTGGTGAAGGCGTGTGACGGTGCGTGCGCTTTTCGACAAGCGGCAGCGGGGAGTCGGCCAAGTTGCTGCTGACCGAGTCGTGGTGGCGATGCGCAGACTCGCTCCTGCTATACGTCGAGTCGGGCGTTGCGCATCGCAAGCTCGGCTGTGGCGTCGGGGGCAACGGCGCGTTGGGGGCCGGCTTGGGTGGTGGTGGAGTGCGCGCTCGAGCGCGGTTGAGCTGGCTCAATCCACCCGGCTGCGCCAGCAGCTTGGAGATGACCACCGCCTCGCCAGCCTCTTCCGGTGCCTTGGTACTATCCTTGGTGGTGTTGGTACGGGGTGTTTGGCGAATACGTACTAGCTCAGCAGCGATCTTCCTCGTAAGCATCGCCAGAGTGACCAGGTAGAGGACTGCCAGCATCACCCCGCAGGCGGCAATGAGGCTGTATATCTTGAGTAACCACCTCCTCCTCTGCTCTGCCTCGGCAAACGTCCTTGCCATCAGCACCAGCGATTCCGTATCCGCCCTCGCAGCTGGATCGAACCTTCCCGGTCCTTTCCAGCCACGCAGGCCTGCACCGACGCACAGATGATCGTACACCGCCCTGCGCAGTGCATCGATCCGTACCGCGCAGCACGCGCTCCCCACAAAGCACGCCAGCGCATACACAAAGATGCTCGCATAAATCCCGGCCACGCACCCATTCCACACCACGGGCCGCGTGTTCGGCGCCAGCACCGCCACATACCCGAGTGTCGAAAAGTACGCCGTGGAAAAGATAAAGGCGATCATAAAGATGTGCCACACCTCGGGGCTCAGCACTGGCGCAGCATCCGCTGCCCCGCGTGATGTGTACGACACCACCGTCTTGATGAAGAGCGACAGCACGTATACTTCCGAAAACACCAGGTGGCAGTTGATGCACGACGCCGTGATGAACTTTCCCACGCGCGTCTCCTCTTTTCCAGGCGGTGTTTGGAAGAGCCTCGAGATGCGATGCCATATCGGCGTGTTGGTGGGCGTACGGATGCGCACGGTGTAGGTACGCTTTTCGAGCTTGACAAACCACAGCGGCGTGCGGCGATGTCCGTACAGCAGCATCGCCAGTACGACACCCATCAGACTGACGAGGTTCAGGCAGCTCGTAGTCCACGTCAGCCCCCAGTAGCCACGAGGGTAGATCTGCAGCGCAAGCGCGTCGAGAAACTCCATCACCTCGCCCGCCGTCGCATTGTGTAGCGGCCCCAGAATCTCTTTCGACATGGCGAGCAAGAAAGAACAAGGGTCGGCAAGGTCGTAGATGAACTGCGGACCGCAACTCACTTCCATCCGACTGAGGTTATATGTACTTGATCACTCCGAGCGACGGGTTGGAATCCAGAGAGACGGTACGCACACGCATCACCACGCTCATCCATCCGCTCGCCACATCGCTGCGGTTGAAAACGGCGTACAATGCGCCAGCGTTTCCGCCGAACCGCCATGGCGGCCAAAGCGTCGAACTCTGGGCCCCTTTGTGCGGCCATCCGAGGCGGAGGCGCGACTTGTGCCCGCAGGCCCGAGCTCAGCCCATCGTGTTTTTAGTCGCACTCCCGCCAGCTCCTATTGGTTCTTCCTGCTTGCACTGACATCCGCCGCGGTTACGGACAATAGCGACGACCGGGGCGCACTGGTGCATGCGACCAAAAGTAGGGTGGCGACTAACTTTGCCGGGACAGAGACGGTCTGAGCGGCTGCACGCTCGGGATCAAATCTCGCGATCGAGCCCCTTCGTCGCAAGCGATTCCGCTGAGAAACTTCATCTCGGCTGTCTGGGGTTGCTTGTGATCCAAGCGCCATACCCACGCTAGCCCACGCTAGCCAACGCATCCGCAGCGGCCCGTTCATCACACCCACGCAACAACCCAACGATGCACGGACGGAAACGATCCGATTTCAATCCTTCGATGATTCACATTCACGCCGCAGCATCTCTACCAGCGACGTTTGTCCTGCTAGAATTGCAACATTCTGGGCACGAGCGGTGAGCGCCGCCTCGCATCTTGGCAACGCGGGGAACGAGTTCACTTGAGGAGCTGCTGAAGTTTTCCGCTCTTCTGAGCGTCGAGCAGATCGCTGCATCCACCGAGGTGCTTCTTGTTGATAAAGATGTTGGGCACCGTACGCTGGCTCGTCTTCTCCATCAGATAAGCCTGATCAACGCCGCCCATCAGTATCACTTCTTTTCCTCTCTTTCATTGTTAGGGGGCAGAACTTACTTGGATATCGCTGCCCTCGGAACCCATCTGGTCGAGTTCGAGCACGCCGACGCTGCTCTGGTCGAGGCCGAGCTTGGCGATGACGCTCTTGGCCTGGGTGCAGTAGGGGCAGTAGCTCTTGGAGAAGACGGCTACAAGGTGCTCCGAGATGAGCTTCTCGGCTGCCTGCTTGGCTGCCATCTTGCGAGTGTCGTCGAGTGTGGCCCAGTTGGTTCCACCGGACAGGATTGATTGTAGAGCGCCGATCTTGGAGAGCAAAAAACACACCCGAGTCAGATGTGTTAGTGGGATAAAGTTGTAGATGGAGATCAAGAACAAAGACGACGAGGTGTGTGGATCCAGCGTGCAAAGTGTCCGACCGGCTACTTTTTTTCGAGGGCCGTCCGCGTTCGGGTTTAAACAGGCTTAGCTAGGCCGCCCCCGGCCACATGTGGAGGCTGCGAGCTCAAGAAGCCTGGTCGAGCACAGACAGACGCGGGTGTGACGCAAGTCCGAATGGACTAGTGTTTCGGCCGAAAGAGCTCCACCCTCAAACCTGCCGCTCCCTTCCTCGACATCTCGGTGCACTTACAACACTCCTTCCAGTGGTTCGGTCAAGCAAAACACTCTTTGGCGAATGCTCCGTCCTGGTCACAAGACGAACACATGCAGACGTCCAGCAGCCGTGGTTGCTGCGACGCGCCTGCGAAGCTTGTCACCCCACAGCCCGAGCTCATATTGTAAAGTGGTCTAGGTGGTGGCAGCAAGATGAGCTTCGGTTTCTTGGTCCAGTTTTAAACACTTTCCAAGTGTGTTCCGTCAACATCTTGGGCCGAAATTTGCGATGATTTGCGTCTGACTTGCCGTGTGTACTGAGATAGCCAAGGTCGATACGAGTATCGAAAACCATCACATGGTGACTCCGATTGCGGTGTTTGACGGGACTTGAATGCGCGCAAGAGTGACACTCGCTCTGCTGTCTTTCATTTTGCACCCACCTCACACCCTTGACGGTCCCAGAGCACAATGATGCGGCGGTGGGTCGGATCGGCATCTCTCGCAGCCGCCGACACGCGAGGGTGACTGCTGCTGTACGGCAGTGGACAGAGCGGAACCTGACTCCCACAGCGTCGAGCAACAGTGCCTTAGTCAAGGCGACGATTAGCTGCAGAGCGATGAGTTTGCAAACAAAGATCGCGTTGCCAATCGTGCTCAAGCCGCCCTTGTTTTCAGTCTTCGACCGACATCGACGTGCAAATTCAGCCGATGAAAATGTCAGTACGACGTTGTGTAGCAATATCTCTTGTAGAGCGCAAAGTACAAGCAACGGCACCTGGCAACAACAGTGTATGAAGGAGAATACGATCACTTACTGCGGAGCGAAGAAGACTCGTCACAAAAAGGACCTCGTGCTCGGTAACCATGCTATAGCCTATCTTGCCCCCACGGTCTCTTTATACATCGACAGGCTGAGTTCAGCTGATATTTGATCTTGAAACTGCTGGCGTTCTGTTCAAGCTCACTCAGATGTTCGCAAAAGCATGCATCTCTCAAGACGGAATCTCGAGGTTCAGCTGTTCCCCCCGCTCTGCCTGTCCACTCACCACCAGCATCGCCAACGCTTTGCCAAATCAAGCACGCCTGTCAATCAAGCTTCATGTCGTTCCGAACTTATCGCTCTTGTTCAATTTGCAGGCACGTATACTTACTTCAACGCAATGGACAGTCCAAGCATGTGTTGATTTTGACATGTCCGACCCACATGGACACGCAAGTGTACAGATGGTCCAACGCAGGAAGGTTCACATTTACTGCACACCGGCCAAACACCAACCCTACTCCATAGCCATCGTGCCCTGACCCTTTCCATCGACACACGAGACTAGCTGACAGAGACTTTAGAACGATGCTGAACAACAGAGAAAAGGCAGAAGAATGCGAAACAAGCAGCAACGATGTATCGACCAAGGAAACCTTTTTTTTTCAAGTCGATGAGCAAAAAAAAGGTGTCGAGAATCTACTGTAAGCCATGCTGCCCAAACATGCGTTGGCCGCGTGGTGTCTCGGACCGACATGGCGCCGATGTAGCTGATGGAGCACTTACGACGAACGTATCGAAGATGCAAGGTCGAAACAATCGCGTCGTTACAACGACGTGCCGGGAAAGTCGGCTGACTTACGGCACAGCAACCACTTTCTTGCAGGCACTCACGCCGACATCGACACGCGCAAGTCCCACCAAGCGCATCCAGTGCATCAATTCCGACGCTGCCTCACCAAACGGCATCACTGTTTAAAGCCAGCAACGCGCGCGCTTCGTCCCCAACCGTGCTCAAGCATCCATTTCCATCGACACTCTCTAGCCCATGCTTGAGACCGTGGTACAGTACTCAACATCACAGACCAACATGAGAAACCAACAAACCACATCGGCCAGCACTGCTCCAGACAATCACTCACTCCAAACACGAAGAAAAAGGCCTTGTACCTCAGCACCCCTTGCAAAACGACGAGTCTGATCCAAAACAGCAGTACGATCCACCAGAGAACGCAATCAACAACCACATCGGCCAAACAACGCAGCGACGTCCACCTTCTCCAAAAACGACACCGGAAGAAAAAGGACCCCGTGCATCCTCAAAGAGCCCCTCTTGACCCTACGCTCTTCCACACACATCGACCGTGCGCAGTCTAGCGGATCAACTACGACGCCGGAAAAAAAAGCATGAGGCCTAGAAACTCTTAGTATTACTGCGATGCCTGGTGATGCAGGACGCTGGCGAAGCGAGCGACAGGCAGAGATAGTACGGAACGAATGTAATTGATGGTGGTTCTCTATCTACAGGATGTGTGTGCGTGTGCGAAGCTAAGTGAGACTGAGGGAACGAGCTAGTGAGGGAAGGGGTACGTGCATGGTACCCCTGAGTCGGGTGTATTGTATGCATGCACGCCTCCAGGGCGTGCATGGTGTTAGTGCGCGCGTGTGTATGCAGGTACCGGCCCGAGCGAGCCGGATACCCACCAACAGAAACAACCCCATCATCCAACCGTGCATCAGCAAACGTACGCGCGTCCACTCACTCCACAGCCACAAGACATCAAAAAAGGCCGTCACCTCACCAACCCGCACCCAACCCCTCCGTCAACACACAAATCTATCAAACGAGGAATAGTAATACGACGTTGGTACAACAAAGGACAAGCATGGGAACAAGAAACAACGGGCAACAGTGTATCGAGAAAGGCGGGGACGAGATTAAAAGGTATATGTGAAAAAAAAAAAGATCAAGAAACGGTGCATCCTGAATTGAACCACCAGCTCTGCCTAAGCTGTTCGATCCAATGCACCACGAGGCACAGACGCAGCCTTCGGCTTCGGATGGGCAGCAGCTTGGCCTTCTCATGCTCGTCGATGGGCATCACCAGCGCCATCCAGTAGCCGAGCCGCTCCACCTCGTCGGCGTTCGGCATGGGCCCGTACGTGTGGTTGAGCCGCGACAGCAGCCACGGCGCCGAGCCCGAGCGCAGCGTCTCGATGAACGACGTGCAGATCTCGGTGAGCTCCTCGATCGACGGCTCGGCAGGCACGGGCTTGAACGGCATCAAGCCATCCTGCTCCTCGGTCCTGTCGCCGTCCTGGTCGTCGGTGGCTGCGCCGGCATCCCGCCCACCATCATGCGCAGCTTCGCGATCACCATCGCCGGGAGCCGACGACGCAGGTGTGCGGTAGATGGCCATGGCGTCCGACTCGGCGCGCGTCATATCTGGACGGGTGCCGTCACTCGCAGCGTTGAAACTGTCGCTGCTGGCTTGGGTGCGCACCGGTGCCGAGGTGGAAGGAGCCATGGCAGCGGCACGCGGACGTTGGCTGGCCTCCTCGGCCTTCTTGCGCTCGAGCTCTCCGCGGCGCCTCAGCACAGCAGCCTCGAGCGCGGCCTCCTCCTCGAGCGAGATGTCGTCGACGCGCTCCACACGGCCGACCGTGTAGCCGTCGAGCGAGCCCTTCTCGAGCAGACGGAAGCGGTACGAGCCCACGGTCTCGAGCATGCTTCGGCCGTCGGCGAGCATCTGCACCGACTTGATCTCGAGCATCGTGCCGTACTCTTCCAGGCCGCCGTTGGTTCGGGATGGCAGCACCATGCCGAAGCGCGGATTGCCGCTCTCGAGACAGCGACGCACCATGAGACGGTAGCGCGGCTCAAAGATGTGCAGGATGGTGGGCATGCCTGGGAACGCCAGCGTGCACACAAAGATGGGCGTCGAGAGTCGCGCCTCGCGCTCCTCGTGCTCGATGGCGAGCTTGCGCTGTTCGTACAGACGCTTGAATCCGTAGTGGTGGGGCGCCGTGTCGGGATCGTCGTCGATGATGTAGCCTGCGCGGCGATCGAGATGGGAGGCAGCCTTGGTGTCGCCGTCTGCGTTCATTGCGATCGAGATGCCAGCATAGGCAGCCTCCTGTGTCGAGTCCGAGTCCATCGCATCCTCGTCCGAAAACGTGGCCGTGTCCGAGACGAGGACCTTGAGAAGTGCGGTGTTGGGGCGGTGGTCCTGGAAGAAGGAGAAGTTGGGCATGTCGGCACGGCAGAGGGGGCATCGATCGCCGTGATCGAGACTGCGGGCAAAGCAGGACTTGCAAAAGGTGTGGCCGCACGGGGTTGTGAGGGGGTCGTACAGAAGCAGGTAGCACAGCTGGCACTCGAGCACCTCGACGAGCTCCGAATGCAGTGTGGCGACGGTCTGGATGAGTGGCTCGCCGTTGAGGCCGGTCTTGGAGGAGAGCGAGAGGCTGTGTTTGGCATCGACGGCATGCTGATGGTGGCGATGGTCGTGGCCGTCGGCATCGGTATCGGCTTCGGTGGCGGAGCTGGCGCCTGGATGAAGTTGTGCCGCACGACGTCGCAAGACCGAGTCCACGAGCGGCTCGACGCTGCCGCCTCGGTTCAGGGCGTCGCTTACAGTCGAGTCTTCCGTACTCCAACCAGAGTCGACGTGGTGAGGAGCAGCTTCCTCGGCTACCGCCGACTCGCTCTTGACTGCTTTGCCCTCGAAGCGCGAAGCTTGGGCCTTGCGGAAGGAGTTGGCGCTGGAGGTGCTGTTGTCGCTTCGTCGGCCTCTGCGTCGTTTGAGGTGCGCCTTGCCGCGCTTGCGAGTGGCACGAGCGGCGAGCGGAGGGCGAGAGAAGGCACCACCGACGAGATCGG